ATATCTTTGTTCTAGTTCCCATGACACCTCACTCACATCACAAACTGGTTTTCTTCTGTCACAGAGACCTCTTCATGTCCTTTGCTGGCACTTCTTCCTCTGCCCAGCCTTTCAGAAGCGCCCTTCCCTGGTTTCTACATGCTCTTCCACCTTAAATTCACACACCTTAAATTCCACTGAAATACTGTAATGCCCAAATCTTTATAACCAGTCCTGTGCTTTGAACTCAGGACTGGGAGGACCCGTTATCTAGCCTGGCATCTAATAGGCCTGTTTAAAATTACTATAACAAAATATGTATTTTACCCTCTCCAAATCCTCTTAGACAAATGGCATCACTAATTTGTCATTTTACTTACACCCAAAAATCTAAGCCTTCTTTGATTCTGCTCCTTGCTTTACACTCCACTTGCTTTAATCTCACTCTTGGCATTGAAGCACCCAGCAAGTCCTATCATCGAAATCCAAAACATATCCATCCCTGCCAGCTCACCTCCGCTACAACTACAGTACAAAAATCACTCCTCACCTGCACCCACACAGCTCCCTTGCCCAAGTGTTTTAAAATGTGAAGTATTTAGGACCCCCCTTTGTTTAAAATGACTTCCCATAACATTCTGATTAAAACACACACTTTAATATGTGATTCATTCTCTGCTTACTTCCCAGTCTCATCCTACGTGATTCCTCCTTCACTACTAGCTATGAGCCACACTCACTCTCGTTCAGTTTCTCACACATATGGTACTCATTCCTACCATAGGTCCTTAGTGCTTCTCTCTGCTGAGATATTCTTCACCGTCACATGGTTGGCTCTTTACTGTAAGTCAGATTTCAACTTAATTTTTAATTCCTCAGAGGTTTCTCTAGTTCCTCTCCCCAGTCACTCCTTCACCTATCATACATGTATCTATCTCATGCTCTACTCTACCAAGATCTAGAACAATGTCTGCACAGAGATGCATAATAAATCCTAGCTGAAAGACTGAAATGGTGAAACATGCAGATTAGAACGATCCAAAATAAATTAATCTGTTCCTCTCTTAATGTATTAACCTGAACCATAGACCAAAGCAGCCACCACCCAAATTACTTTCTTATTTAGAGAGAGAGAAAAGTCTCTTATATGTCTCCCTGGTCTTGAAACACATGTTATTTCTTAATCATACATTAACATCTAAACCTTTTTTTTTTTTGAGAGGTTTTTGCTCTAGGGCGCGTGCGCTCACCAGACAGACAGAAACAGAGAGAAAGAAAGTGAGAAATCCCCCCCCAGGGGGGATGGCCATGCCGCAATCCCTTCTCCATTCTCCTCTCGGGATCTTGGGCACACATGCACACGCACCCGGCGTGAGTTTTAAGTCACCAGGTCTGGGACGTGAACTGCGGTCGACTACATGGGAGTCCAGCGACATAGTCATTACACTAACTGCTGGTCCCAACATCTAAACCTTTTTAAGGGCTGGGGAAATCCTGGGAAGGGGTACTAAATCTACAAAAGATGCTATTCTCATTTTCCTTTCACTTCTTCTTTATAAAATGTCTTTAGAGGCTATAGGCCACTCTCTTACTGACGGTCCAAAATTACTTGCTAACATGGTCTCCATTAGTCTTTGATAATCTCTGTTAACCATTTCCTCTTGGCTGGTCTGCTTCTCATTTGGACACCACTTCTATTCTCCTTAATATTCTTTCTTTCTTTCTTACTTCTCAGTTTATTAAAAAGCAGAGCTGGCTTTAAAGATCACCAGAAGAATTACCTTTATTTTATTTTATTTATTTATTTATGAGAGTTTGCTATAGGGCGCATGAACTTGCCAGAAAGACAGAGAGAGACAGTGAGACAGAAAGCGAGAAATCACTCCCCCAGAGGTGATGGCCATACTGCAATCCCTTCTCCTTCATTCTCCTCTTGGGATCTTGGGCACACATGCACACGCACCCGGAGTGAATTTAAGTCACCGGTCCTAGACTCAAACCATGGTTGACTACATGGGAGTTCAGCAACATAGCCATTATGCTAACTGCTGGTCCCACGAATTACCTTTATTTAATAAGTCATTTATGTTGTGACATTCCTGCATCTGGAAGTAACTACTATGGAAGATAATAAAATCACCACACTTTAATCTCTTATTTCATATTATAGCTTAACAAAGTCAAAGAAATGTTTGAACTTATATTTCTAATAGTAAAACTACTAAAATAGAACTAAGAGATATTTGCTATTAGGGTATATTTCCTTTTTGCTGAACCAATCTGACTTTCTCCTACCCTATAAGCAAAGCTACTAAACATTACAGTTTTCTCAATTTGCACCCATGTATTTGATCCTGGTAAAATCCATTCATGCTTTACCATGACTTATTTTGTATTAAACCCAAACAGCTATACTGTTGTCATTTAGAAATGTAAGAGATACTTGCTGTTGCTTTTTCTCGTTCTTCACTGCTTTTCTTCTTTTTTGCTCGTACCTAAAAAATTCAAGTTTTTATAGAGAAGACAAACATAATTTGTATTAAAGGTATTTTTCTTTCATTCCCTAAAATATAGTGCATCTTCAAAATTTATGTACAAAAAACAGTGACAATCAAAATTACTTTTAAACAACTTCTTATATCTCAATGAGGTTTCAATGGAAAACAAGGAAAGAAAAATCAGATTTCAAATCCCTAGAGAGCTTCTCTTATCTTTCAGCACCTAAAAAAAGTAATGTAGAGGAGCTCTTAGCAGCTCCGACGCGGGGAATGGCAGGCGTGATGGTTTACATCTCGAATGGATAAGTACTGGACAGCCGGAGTCAGTCCCCATGGAGGTTATCTTTGATAACAGATTTTTTTCTGGGGAAGAGCCAATTTATAGTTTTGTTTTTCAAAACTGTGCTTCAGCAAGATGTGAAAAAGAGAAGAGGCTATGGAAACTCATCTGATTCCAGATATGATGACGGAAGAGGGCCACCAGGAAACTCTCCCTGAAGAATGGGTCAAATCAATCATCTGCATGGCCCCAGTCCTCCTCCAATGGCTGGAGGATGAGGAAGGTGAACGTCTGCTCTAAGAAGCAGACAACTGGACGTGCACATCCATAAGTAGGAGGAAGCCATCAGGAAGGAGAGGTCTGACCACACCAGAGAAGTTACTGAATGTGCCCATCTGAACAAGGATTGCTCTGTGTCCTCACAGATGAATGAGGTCATGCTGGGAATTCCCTCTCTGCAGGGATCTGGCCTGAGTGATATGCAATTCTATAAATGCACATGTTTATCTCATTATCTTTTTTGTATACTTGATTAAAGTATTGGTTATTGTTTTAATGAGTAAGTATTTTTAGCTTGCACAACTGACTCATCTTTGTATAATTAAATCACAAAATGCAGGCCAACTGGTTGCATGGTGGTTAAAATGTCTGGATCTCATGTGACCAACTACACGGTTTGAGTCCTAGATCTGGCACCCTGAGAAATACACTGGAATACAGTAGATATTTCTCTTATTTTATGGTAACAAACAATGGCAGCTATACACATAGTATACTCAGTATAAACCAACTGATTAAAATCCTTTTAAGTAACATTATCACCCCATTTATATTTTATTTCAATCCTTTAAAAATGTGGTACATTGATTTGAAATTAAACCAAATGTTATGGGATAGTAATAAAAAAATACTGTATAGTATGCAAGCAGGTAGCATGGTGGGTAAGGCACTGGACCCCCAAATGGCCAACCTCAGTTCAAGTCCTGGACCTGGTGGCTTACTTTCTCAATTTCTCTCTCTGTCTCTGATAAGCACAAGTGCTCTATAGCAAATTAAAAATAATCTTAAATAAATAAAATTAAATAAACAATTATTTACATGATTGTTCCATTTATAATAGCTTTGAATGTCATTTCAGGAGTTAACACAAAATATTGCTATCAAATAGGCCAACAGGTCTGATGGGACTGAGGGTCACAAATGCAGACCAAGTACAATGAAATCAAAGGGGAGACAGGCATAAACAACAAAAAGGCAAGACTCAGTATGGGCAGATAAAGAATACAGAGACTGGAACAGAGACGGGAAGGACTGATGTAAAAGGATGCCAACACAGAGAGGAGATGGAATCAGGAATACCTGTTCCTGTGGCAATCTGCTACTACTTTGTGTTACTAAGGACCAGAATCTCAACTTTCAGGTTATATTGTTGGAGGTTCAATATGTTCTCTCTCTCTTTTTTTTTTCTTTTCGGAGAGGTTTTTGCTACAGATAGAGATAGAAAGCGAGAAAACATCCCCCAGGGGGGATGGCCACGCCACAATCCCTTCTCCTCCATTCTCCTCTTGGGATCTTGGGCGTGCACGCACACGAGCCTGGCATGAGTTTAAGCCACCGGGTCCAGGACTTGAACCGCAGTTGACTACATTTTATTTATTTATTTATGAGAGTTTGCTATAGGGCGCATGAACTTGCCAGAAAGACAGAGAGAGACAGTGAGACAGAAAGCGAGAAATCACTCCCCCAGAGGTGATGGCCATACTGCAATCCCTTCTCCTTCATTCTCCTCTTGGGATCTTGGGCACACATGCACACGCACCCGGAGTGAATTTAAGTCACCGGTCCTAGACTCAAACCATGGTTGACTACATGGGAGTTCAGCAACATAGCCATTATGCTAACTGCTGGTCCCACGAATTACCTTTATTTA